ATAAATCTTATTTCAGTTACCTCATTGAACACTGAAAATCACTCATTGAATCTAACTGTTATTGTTTTTAACAAGACATCGCCTTCTTTGCCTTTGGACAGCCAACGGACAGCTTCGCTCAGGCTACGTCTATAACTGGACTTCCTGGTTGGATGACTATGGCTTCGGGAAGTGCACAGACCCGACAAAATGCAACGTGTTTCCCGATGGGAAGCCCTTCCCCCAGAGCAACGACTGGAGGCGCAAGAGTTACGTTTACGTGTGGCACACAATGGGTGAGTTTGATACGACAAACGGCAACGAGCAGAACAACAAACGTCCCTGCGAATGAACCACCTCCCTGTTTCGCCTCCGCTTTCTAGGCCAGTACTATGAAACATGCGACGGCTCTTCTTCCAGTCTGACCCTCAATACCACTGGCATCCCACTGGGGGGAGAAGTCATGGAGGTTATGGTCTACAGGAAGCGTGAGCGCAGGAAGTACAGCCCCTTGACCAGCGATAACTGCGTTTTTTTAGTCACAGGTGGAGGCATATTTACATGTTCAAGTATCAAATAGAACACAATCTGAAAGTTTTCAAAAAAATAATAGCGACTTCCCGCATGCCCTCAGATAAGATCCCACTGGCAGTCGACATTTCCCAGAAGTCCGTCGTCAACAAGTCTGCCAGTGTTTTCATTCGTGGAGAGGAGATCGTCTTCAAGGTCCAGCTTCATGACCCCAGCGGTTACCTCAAGACAGCCGCTTCAGTGGATTACATCTGGGACTTTAGAGACGGCAATCAGGTCGTGACACACCGCGAGGTGACCACACACACCTACAGCACGCTGGGAAAGATGAATGTGAAGCTGGTGGTGGAGGCCGCGTTTCCTGTTGAGTGTCCACCCACCTCTGCCACTCCAACTCCGAGGCGCCCCACATCGCCACCTCTCACAGGTACTCGACTGAGACAGCCAGGCTTGCAAAAGCATCCAGGTGTTTTTTTTTATGTGTTTTTGGCAGGGAGAAGTCGCAAAGCTTCCAGAATACCTTAGTTCTGGTCACTAATGCTAAGAAAAGGTCTTGGCAGTGACCAAACTACCCGGTCTGAACAGGAATCCTGCCAACATCGCACAAGTTTGCGGCCTCACACACTGAACCTCAATGAAGCAACAGAACGCAAATGACATTCTGATGATAATGCAAAACATGACTTTTCTTGTTTGACGTAAGCTCTTGCTAAATGTGTTGAAGTTGGTTGATTCCATTGGCAGAACCGAACTTGATGCAGCTCCCAAAATCTTCCAGCACTGCCCAAGTGCCTGGTGTTGGACTGTATTTGATTATCCGAATCACATCAGTATGACAACACAGGCAAAAACAGAAATAATCTGCCCGGTTACTGGTGCATTTTTATTTTCCAACCACCTGTTATCAATTGGCTTATCAGAGAAAAGATTGAGAAACAGCAACGATCAATGGATATACATACCATCTACTTGTGACTTCTGATGAGTTTCAGCCTGTATGTCTTTCATTTCTCTAAAAGCTAGCCTGCAATTTTCAATTAGGCAAGAATCATTTCTATAAACTTCTCCTGGGTCTTCTCCGTCAGTGGCCCCCACGACTCCTCCGGTGACACACGCTGTCACAACGAAGGTCAAGACGACGCCGGGTGAGTTTGCTTGTGGACTTGAGGTACGGTTTGTTCATGAGAAGAACCATCTGAAAGCCTTCAACCGTCTCTCGTCTCTTCTCCGTTTTAGCACCACCCAAAACCAGTCAGCCCGTTAACTCCTCCACTTCACCTGCCGTGACGACGACGACTACGGGGTTGCCCACGACGGAGCCCCTCCTGTCCACTGTCGCCACAGAATCCAACCCCACCTCCCTGCCTTGGCTCCGAAGCAGGGGTCTCAACGGCAACGGCTGTTTCCGATACGCCTATGGAACCTTCTCTGGCAACATCACGATAGTCGGTGGGTGGAGAGCGGCGTTTCCCTTCCCTGACTCAAACATGTTCTTTGATAATTGCGTCGGCTTCAGCTTCTCTCCTGCGACTTTGTGCTCTACGCAGAGCCAAAGCCCCCACTGAGGAACCGGCTAAACAGTCGCATCGTGGACGTGTCGGCCGCCAGGGTGACCGACACCGACGTCAGCTTCAGGGTGAAATGCCTGGGAAGGTGAACATTTTGTTTTTCTCTTGTTTTTCTTTTTTTACATAAAATACAAACACAATGCATTTAAATCTTGATGTTAGGAAATGTTTGAACACTGCATTTGATTTTGGGATCACATTTAGATGGAAACTGGAGAGTCCTCAAATATATGAACGGTAAGAAAATGTAGTATTTAAAAAAAAAAAAAGAAAGACTGAGTTGTAAGAGTACTAAGTGGGAGAAGAAAACCGAACATGGTTGCTTTGATGTAAAAAAATAAATAAATAAAAACTTAGATTAAGCATCAAATTACAAAAAAAACAGTAAAGGTTTGGATTTGAGTGAGTGAAACCCCAGCATCTTGACTTGAACAATGTGGTAAAGACACAACCCTACTTAATGTCCAATGGATGAATCCTCCAGCTTATTAAGTGATGTAGAATCTGGATTTTGACCTCGTCAACTCCATCGCTCCTCCGCAGCATCCCCACGTCAGCCTGCAGCATCGTGTCAGACCCCAGCTGCTCTCAGGTACACAACATCATGTGCGACGACGTGCCGCCTTCGTCCGAGTGTGAGGTGCACCTGCGGCGGAGGTTCCTGGAACCGGGCACCTACTGTGTGAACATCACCCTGGAGAACTCCGGCAGCATGGCACTCGCCAGCACCACCATCACCATCAGCAAGTCTCAGGACGCAGCCGGTTGGTTGGAAAACTGCTCTGGAAAAATAATGCCCTCTTCAGAAATTTTAATTATTTTATAAAAAATTTGAAAAAAAAATTTAATTGCCCCTCTTGTGCATCCCAGCGCCTAAAACCTCAAACACCGCCCAGGTGGTCCTGACTTCGAGTGCCGTGCTGGTGGCGGTCTTTGCGATCGCTGCCTGCATGATCTACCGGTGAGTGTCGCACTTGCATCACATTGAATCCTGTGAATTTATGACTCAACAAGAACAGATGACAAAGATGTTTTCTTGTGCAAAGAAAACAAAAAATTAAAACCCTCTAAATTCTTTATTTTCTTCTTCTTCTTCTTTTTTAAGACGTCACAAGGTCTACAGACCCATTCGAAGGTCGCTGGTCGAGGATGCCTCTGCCAATTCTGGTGCTGCCAGTCACATGGTTCGCCTGAGGGAGGCGCTCTTCCCCTCCAGCGAGGAGAGTCGCCACCTTTTGACTGAGAGACAGCCTGTGTAGGGTTTGCATCCAATAAGCTTTTTTCTCTTGTACTTTCAAAGAAAAGACGCTTCTGAAATGAAGCAATGAGAATTGATACTAATAATGTTGTGTCCTAATTCAGCCAAATCCTAACCCTCTACAATTCAGGTGACAAGGCGCACTAAAGAGGTCGCTTAATTTGTGGCTGCTGCACTAATTTTAATGTCAGCTTGGAAATGAATTTGCTGGGAAGTAGTTTTAATAAGCCATATTGGTGCCTTTGATTAAAAGCAATATGAAGAAACGTCAACATCAAGGATGTGTTGTAGCTTTTCCCTTAAACTCTTGCAAAACCTTTGGTTTTTGATTCATCATTAAACAATTTCAACTTTAAAGTGCGAGTCCTAAGTTATTCAATTATCTCCTAAACAGCTCATTACATGAATGTAATTCTTTATGATCTAATATTGGTGTAATGTGAAATATTTGGCCCTGTAAACAGACTATTGAAGTCGCCGCGTTAATTTGCTGAGTGCATGGATTCCTGACGCTACGTTGCACGTTTTCATGTCACAACTGAAAACGTTGTGACATGAAAGAAAACAGAGGTTTTCTTTGACCTCTCCTCTGTAAAATTGCAAATAGACGCAGATGAAAGTGCTTTTTTGTCTAAATGTCCAGGCATTAAAAAAAAATCAGGTTGCTTGTTCAAGAGTAGAGACACGAACAAAAATAAAGATGTCTCTTTGAGTCATCATACTGATTGTTTTTTGCATTCATCTGATAGTGGCCACTGAAATATTTAGTCTCAATTTGCAGTTTAATAAAGAAAAAAATAATTTGTCTATTTCCTGAAGGCCCCTAGAGATACACCAACCAATACATTTGCCATATATACTTTCTTGCCTCGGTTACATTTTGACCAGTTTTGTTATAATCCAGGACATTGAAGTATGAATCATCAACTTTGAGGTTTTTTTGTTGTTGCTGGAGACTACCAGAGCACATTTATAGTTTCATATTATGCTTTTTAAAGGGACAGTATTATGTACTTTCCAGACACACAGTGCCATTTTGTATGCTAAGTGGGGTGGGGGCTGCTTTGTGACACAGAAGCTGAAAAACTGCAGCTCAGTTACTGAGTAGCAGCTGCAAATCTGCTGAATGGTCGCCACTGGAGACTAAAGAATTTCAAAGCAGCATTCCAGGTATGTTTGATAAGCTTTACATGATGTAGAAATAAAAACCAGTCAATTCAATTGTCGGAGCATTCTGCAGCAACGTCTGGAAACTCGCAACATTTTCTCCACGCGCTGCTACTCCACTCCATCCAGATGGGGAAAAAGAGCATCCAAGTCAATTACTTTCAAGATCATACTACATACATTTTCTTTACGAATGTGGCTTATTTTAGTATGTAATCTTTACTTGTATAAGATTTGCCAGGAAGCAATGAAACTAAAGAAAAAAATCCCTTATATTATGTGCTACATTTAAAAAAAATAAAGTACATCTTAATTTCATTTGGCTGATTTTTAAATGAGTCAAGAATGAATTTATAGAAATGCTGGTTTCTTTAACTGAATTCCACCAAATAAAATGGAACTTGGTAAATGTTATGGCCACAAAACCAATTAATAATTATTTAAAAGAAGAATTTTGCAGACCTGATGGACACAACTTGCATAAAACAAGTCTCATCAATATTAAAACAAAAAAACTTTTTTTATTTATTTTTTATTCAGAGGCATTTGACAAGTGGAGCTGTGTGTTTGTGGGGAGGTGACGGGGCACAAGTACGGTTGCAGAGAGGGGGAGGAGAGAACATCATGCTGAAGATCCATCACTTTTCCATAAACAGAGTCAGTCCCTCTAATTTGTCCCATACTCAAAAAAAAAATAAAAATAAAAATTGTTCCACATTACACAACCAAGAAATGCCAACCGAAAATGCCATCACATCGCATTTTCTTGTCTAAGTTTCATAAATTGAAAGAGGAAAAAAGAAAACGGGTCCTTTTTTGCATTAGACTGAAAGCAAAAATCAAAGACTAGATTTATTTTCCAGAAAAAAAAAAAAAAAAAGTTTGAATACATGTAAGCCACACCACCAAAAATAGAAAGCAGAAAGGAATAATCATTGAGGATCTCAAAGCCAAAAGGAGTATATGTAAATATAAACACTGATCAAAAGAAAACATTTCTATCACTTTCCATTATTCTCAATTCTACAGAATTCATTAGTTTAAATTTTCATCTCTTTTCTGGGGAGGTGCACAAGTGTGTGCGGGGGGGTCGGGGTCTAACAAATGGTATTACGCCTCCAATTCAAATATGTGTCTATAGAGGTAGATCAAAAACAAAGTGGATGAGGGGAGGGTGGGTATCAGGAGGATCATTTTAAGCATCACTTGTGCCCCTCTGCTAAGCATGACGTCAGAGGGGCGCGCCCAGGTAGAAACAAATGTTCGGGGTACTGAGGTATTGGTGCGCGCTGGCGCTCAGTGGGGGCGGGGTGAGGTGTCCAGTGCCACAGCAACTCCCTCCTCCACCCCTCACCCCCCTCAGCTGAGGTAGACTGCGTTCTACTGTGGAAGCATGGATACACTAGCACTTTACCACAATCAATATATATTTACATTCGGCACGGAAACAAACAGTTGCTTAAAATGACTGTTTAGGATTTTTGCTTCCTGTCCGAGTGGGGGTTCGTTCACAATTATGCGTCATTTAAATTGTTTTCCCCTGGATGAGCAACCAAAAAAAATAAAAATAAAAATCTAATCAAGTTGCAAAAAAAAGGACAGCTCATGTTCTCCAAGCCCAAAACATAAAAATGCATCCATCTGTGCCACTCCCCCGACTCACCACGAAAAGAAAACGAATGACTTGATGGCCACGTCACTATGGCAGAGTTTGAACCTTACCAGGATAGCGTTAGCTGAAATATTTAGTCTCAATTTGCCGCTTCATAAAAGAACAGCGGTGGCGGATGACCCAGAAATGAAACCGACCAAGAGAGGGAAGAAAACCGTAAATAAAATTAAAAAAAGATGCTCTGACAACAGCTACAGGGAGGACCCGTCACAGTTTGAGCTGCAGCATCCTCAATCAGAAGACAAAAATAATTTGACATTAAAACTACCAGCGAAACCCCAAAATAAATGGCATTGCTGCAAATATGTACGCTTGGCTTTTGTTGTTGTTGTTTTTGCACGCATTTAGTTGTTCTGTACTTGCTTTTGTCTTCAAGAAGATGGTGGACCGTCAGTGGGGAAAAAAACGGAGGCAATTTTTTTCTCTATATACTTCTCCATCAGCCGCCAGCTGAGGGGGAGGTGAGGGTGGGGTGCCAACTCTTGCTCCAAGGCTGCTATGTACAAATACATTTTATGTACAGGGTCATCTTTGTTCACACATCCACATGTACAATGCCGCCTAAAGCACCAGAGTTGAAGGCAAGGTCAGTTGGCAGCTGACCCGGAAATTTTTAATTTTCTTAAAAAAATAAAAATGTTCAAAGACTATCAGCTTTATAAAGTATACAAAATACCACAAAAGCAAAATAAAGAGAAAGGAACTTTTTTTTTTCTCCATATAATAATTTTTTTTCTCTTCTGAGGTACTAGATCCTGAGGTAGTTAAACAAAATGCATAAATTGGTTTTTCAGGGCAGCAGCTTGGCACCACTTTCCCCAAATGTGTCAGTCGCAGCGCTGCCCCCTCTACTAAATATATATATGTATTCATATTTATATATTGATCTATTTATATAGGTCTATCTATAAAATGCATCCGAATTTTTCTTTTAAAAAAAAAAAATGCCACTTTCATTCCAAGGGCAGGACGCCTGATATATAACCAACCCTCCCAGGGGTCCTGTCCTAAAACAAGAATTTTTCCCCTAAATGTGGCCCACCTGGCCAGAGACAAACCTCCCCCCGACTAAACCTCTGTTGGTCCGACCAGGACCGAGCAATGCCTTTTCTCTTTCCATGGAAAAACCCGTGAGAAAGCCTTAACCAATTCAGAAAAACTAAACATAAACATCTTTAAGGTACCACACCATAGGGGGTGATAGAAAGGGGGTTTGTATTTCTTCCTCATAGTTTTAGTGTAAAAAGAACTAAATAAAAAACAAACTACACCCATGGGGGTGAGGGGGGGTAAAAGAAGGGGTTGAGGGCAGGTGATGTTGGCGACAGCCCTCCAAAGTACATTCTCACAGCAGACGCAGAGACGTGAAGTGGGTGGAGCTTAAGAGGTGTAAGGTGTCGTCACCCCCACTTTAAAGTCATCAAGTTGTTCAGGGAGGGGTGGAAGTTTGGTTCCGATGACCTTGACCCCTGAGATGTGCAATAGGATCCACTGTCATTTTTCTTTTCCCCCCAAGAGCTTTTCTGCATCTGTCCATCTGTCGAGTTTCACGACGGATCCAGTCGCCGTTCTTCCAGAGCTTGCTGGAGCTTCACTTCCTGCGTGGCGTCAGAGGCTGGCCGCCCGATGGAGGCTTGGGCTGCTGCTGTTGATGCTGCTGCCTCCTCACCTGAGCCAGGATCTCCTGAATCTTCCTCTGGGCCAACTAAACCAGACAGAAGAATATTAAAACACGCCACAGGAATTTTTAGATTCATTTGTAAATATGGCTGAAAGTACAATTTCTCCCCATTGAATGTTTAAGTTTGGCCAAAAACAAAAAATGTGGAAATTAAAGCATTTTATTTTTATTTTTTTAATAATTAAACAGGAGGAAATTTGACTGGCGGGAACATGTCCCCAACAAGAGATCTTTCAGTGAAGAATAAAAAATTAAAAAAAATAAAAAAATACTCCTTAAGGCAAATGAATGCAAATATATTGTTTTTCCTTTTGAAAGACATTCTGCTATTGAAGTTATATAATCCCCTTTTAACAGCTTTTGTCCAACAACTGCATGCATGTAATCGGATTCACTCAACACCAAGTATTACTGTGATTTCAACTACTCCACAGGAGGAATATAATTTAAATGAAGATTAAGTTTAATGAATAAACTTAATGTCAGAGTTTTCATTTTGCATTTTCTGCCAGGCCAAGTTAGCCTGTTAGACATACTCATGAAAGTAGTGAGAGGTTTGTTTTGTTGTTTTTTTTTTAATAGTTCTTTTAATATGAGTGAAATAATTGCACATCTTGAAAACTGTTGCCTTGTACATCTATGATTTTCGTGACCCACCTGGCATGCAAAGAAGTGTCCACTGATCTTCACTATAACCTGGTCGTTCTCGTCAGGCGTCTGGTCCCTGGGCACCACCACTTCTGCACAGGTCAAGTTCTGCAGCTCATTCACCTGCAGTCGCATCAAGACCAACTTAGTACTGGTGCACAATTCTGATTTATTTAAGTTTTTTTCCCCAACCCCAGCTTATGAAGCTATATTTACCGTTTTTCCACCTTTCCCGATGACGCGTCCAGCAGCAAAAGAAGGGACTTTGATGTGCGCTTCCAGCTTCACCTCTTCTTTCGGCCCAAAAAAGTTCTCTTCTTTAAGCTTGCCAAAGATGCGACACTGAGCCTGAAGCCAGAAAGGTTCAAAAAGAGATTAAATAAAACAACATTTTAATATTTGTTCTTTCCAGCCGAGTAAAATAGGACAAGCTTCTAACATGTGAGAGATACAACTTCCAAACATTTAAAATCAGCAAATCAAGGTTTAGCACCTTAAACTGAGCTTCTGGTGGCCCGACAATGATGACCATCCTCTGCTTGGCGTCCATTCCTTCTGCTGGAGCAATCTGAAAGCAGGTAAAACGCAGCATTAACAGCAAACTACACCCAGTCATCGAGCTCCTATCACCACTACGCTTCCCTCACCTTGATAGAGGCTCCTGCAAAGTGTGACAGCTGTTTGATGTGTTGGCCCTGTTTTCCAATGATGGCTCCCACAGCAAGTGCAGGAATGAACAGGTGAACTGTCTCTGACTCCGGCTGGCCCTGCTGAGCGAAAACAAAAGGTTACAAATGTGACCAGAAGACTCAAACGGGACCAACACTATAGCTCCAGCCACAGATGTGCCAAGGCAAATAAGGGATGAAGCAGAAGCTGCACTATTCTGTAAGAGTTGAATGTAGACACTTGAAATTAGTAGCTGAAAAAGGAGCAGCTTCTATCTAGGAGACAAAAGATACAATTTCTATTATTAATCTCTAAACTGTTGATCAGATTGGTGTAAAACATGAAGGGGTGTGATTAGTCCAAAATGAACAGCATGATGTAGAAACATGTTAATGAAAACTTGAATATATAAAGACAAGGGAACACCAAAAAGTCTTGTTTAATCACACTCCATGAAAAGCTTTGATTTAGTAACGTAAAGAGGCTCCAAACCTTAGAAATCAACACTCACCAAAAACCAAATTGAGTTCTCTGGACAAGGTCAGCATATAAATTAATTTGTTATTTTTTTTAGGTGTTGCTTGCCATTCACTCATTTCATTCTAATATATGTAATTATTCTTGAATGTTCACATCTTCATTACAACCACAAGCTTCAAAGCACTTTTGTAGATTTTGTTTGGTGGGCCAACACAGAGTTAAAAAAAATAATAATAATAATAATAAAAAAACAAAACAGACATGATTTTCAAACTTTGACAAATCTTAAAATTGCAGTGTGCATTTGTTAAAATTAGTGCACACGGTGGGAGAATCCTTTAAAGACAACTATGACCTGCACACTCCACAAATCTTTCTAAAGGCAAAGTAGATGCTGTTGATTGTTCATACGTGGTAGAAACGCTACATATGCAGTGATAAGACAATATTTTTCAAAGATGCAGATGTTTAGTAGAGGTTATAAAACCATTCACCTGCTTAGCTTTTTTGGTATGCAGCGTCTCAGAGAAACCACTGAGCTCACGTTAATATTTGAGTCTGTCATCCTCCTTGCACTCACTCCATATTTAGTTTGCCTAAATCCAAATATGTGGGGAAATGAAAGAGAACTTTACAACAAATCCAAACCCCTAATCTCGCAGCGAGCAGCCACAAGCCGTGCAAAGCACTTTGGGATGGGTGACTTACAGCAAGGGGCTGGCTGCTTGCCGACAGCATAGAAGCCCAAAATGGCTCCTCAGCCCCATAAGGACTGCACTGGAGGGAAAAAGGAAATGTGAAACTGTTGCTCAAGACCGATTTCTGCTGTCGTTTCAGTTGCAGACTTCAGAGGCCTCACCCAAACGTTTAGAAAACCAAGTCAACAGTTCTTGGCTTTATAGAGTTGGAAGCAGACTGCTTTAATAGCCGACAGACTTGTCACTTACACCATACGAGCATCCACCATGAGCTCCAGGAGGCGGGACGTTGGCCATGGAGGGACCCATGCCTGGTGCTCCACTGGGGAACAAACCCAAAGCGTTCAGATTCAAACCAGGAATGAGGTTGGATTGGAGCTGTAAATAAAATGGTAGTATATTAATTGGTGACATTCAAATACATTTGTCAAGTATCCTTCTTTTTCATTTTTGACACCCCCGTATTCCCCAAAATTAAAATCTGAATAACTTCCTCAAAGGTTTTCAAAAAGCAGGTGCATAAAATAAAAAATTCTTAAGGTAAAAAAAAAACCTTAAGAAATAAATTCAAACATTACAGTTTGTCCTGAAGCACTACAAGTATAAAGAAGAAATATTAGGTCATCTTCATATCATGTTTCAGGATCTGAAAGTGCTGCCATAGCAGTTCAGTTCAACAGATACACAGATAACTAAGCATTTTACTTCCTAAAACAAAACTTTTGGCTCTTTTATTTCTTTCTAAGTAGTTTCAGCACAAACATGCTCACTTTATGCAGACAACAAACTTAATAGGAAGTAAAATAAAGGATAAAACAGTATATAATTCAAATATTTCCTTTTTTTTAATACAAAGAAAAATACATTACATATTTAAGCATTATATGAAAGCAGTGGTGTGCACAAATGCATTGAAATCTGTTTGTTTAGGAGTTACCTGATCTTTCTTTTCACCAGATGCCATAAATTTTGGTATTTTCTATATTACTTTAGTTTTACCTCTAGGTGGCACTTTAGTGTTCATAAAAAGATAGAAACTTTTAATTTGGTGGCAGACCATGTAATTTAAGAGTTGCAGTTCTGTAGGACCACTGTCAGATAAAAAGCTGTACTAATGTATTAGACATACATTAAGGCAAGATGAGGCCTACAGAATTTACATTGAGGGCTTCATTTAAAAATTTGAAATAGTAGAAATGGCACAGATTTTGTAACAGATGAGCTATTAATATTTTAACAAAAGATTAATACAACTCTTGAAATGTTAAAAAGGAAGTCAATGGAAAGATTTTCACATTTATGTTTCGCTTTTTGATATCTGTAGTTACATTTGTGGACCAGTGACAGGATTAGAATCAAATATGTAAATAATTTCATAGATCAGGGTACAATTTGTACATACAATATTGATGCATGACATTAATTTTAAAAGTCAATTTCATAAAAGAAAACAATAAGGATAAAGTGGCACAACCCTGTTGATTCTTACATTCATAGCAGCCATGTCGCTCTCATAGGATTCCCTGATCTTCTTCATCACCTCCTCCTCAGCCCGGGAGCATGCTTCAATCGAGCCCTTTATTGTGATTGTCCGCTCTGGGTTGTACAAGGTGAGATCCTGGAGCCTGGAAAATAAAAACAAACAGTGAAATATTAACATACTATGAACAAAAGCAACAAAAAGCACTGTGTTGATGCCATCTTTGTGAATTTACTGGAGACAACAGCAGTGAACGGGGTCAAACTTTCTTACGGTGAGATTGTGATCTTGGTCCCTGTGTCTTGCTCGATTTTCTTAAGGTTGCGGCCTTCTTTCCCTATTAATCTTCCTACAAAGTTGTTGTGTGCAAGGATCTTCAGTGGGATCTCCTCAATGCTGTAAACGATGACGGCATAATACATTTACAAATACAGAACCTCCAAATACACAACACAGAAATGACTCAACATTTTAATGGATCAATACATTTCTGATTAGTCAACTTAATCCATCTCTGCTTTCTGCAGGTGCACCGTCTGTGCTCAGTATATGTTTTACACTCAGGTCTGTATACCTGTTGAGGAAAATCTTTCATGGTCAGGAATGTTGAATCCTCTTCAACTAAATATTACACAGGCCTCTTCATTGTCTTAACTAGTAAGTTAAAACTTAATTGCATAACAAGGCTTTTAATAGCTACATCTTATTTTCCCAAAAATGCAGCGAAGGCCATGAATGTTACAAATACTTTAAAAAATGCTCTTTAGTACAAAACTAGCCTCATCAGTAAATTATGTTTATCGGCCAAAAGAGAATTGAGTAGGAAACAGCTGGACCCATGATAACAGGTTAACAAAACTCCTTCGCTTGAAATAAATACTGACCTGAAAGGGAGAATTCATTGTCTACATGTTTATGTCTTGAATGCTCAAACACTGCAGTACCGTCACCACGGAAGGAAAGGCCTGTACAGCAGGTTGCATGTAGCTTACTGACAAAGACACTGTCCCCACAACTTCCTGTACTGCACTGAAGCTGTAACGGTTATATGCATCCATAAGTTGTGTCAACAATGAAATGTCGCATTAGTTATTTGCCATCAAACACTACACTAAGTTTTGCAGCTTCAAACTCAATTTGTTTCAGACATCTGACATTTCTTTGAAGAAAGGAGGTTTCATGTTAAAATAAATTATTAATGGTCAGTATTTGCACCTGAAATCTCAGAAAACATGAACTTATTTTACTTAGTTTAATTTTTCAGGACTAAAAATCACATCAAACTGAATATTTAGAAAGAACAGTGGGAACGATTTGGTTCAACTACTAAACACAGTTCAGAAAGTTCTGAATTAAGACATAGCAGAAAAGGCCTTTTGTAGCTTTATTAAAATAGCTTTATAGTCAATTTATAAATTAAAAAAAAGTGTTTTTGGTAATTTAGTCAAACTTTTACTGCCTTCAATATGAAGTGTATTATTCATATGAAATGTCTTTAGATATTAAGAGCCATAGATTACATCTACCATGTAAAAAAAACAAAATCTACATATGCACAACTTGAATATGGCACATACAACAGAAAATCTTGATTGACGTATTTTACATTGAATGATTAAAGAAGCTCGCAGATGTATCCACCAGATCAGTCAATCAATTAGTAGGAAGTAGGTCATGGGTGTAAACACTTAAGAGTGACTCCAATAAGTGCAGAGGTGGGATAAGGAAAGGGAGAGAGCTGTGGAAGTTCTTGCAAGAAAGGACATCAACTAGCAACACAAACTAGTTAAATGCGTCAGTGAATTGGTTGTTTAGTGTAACTAAACATCTGAATTAAATTAGCAGGCTTCTGTTTAATTTGACGACCTGCTGAGGAAGTAATTCAACTCTTTGATTTGGGTGAGTTGATGTTAAAAAGTATTTGTGACATCTAGAAATTGCTAGACAGTAACTCTTAAGGACATTTGTTAGAGACCCCTGCTTTGGATTAATTTTACAAAATGCACCCACCTGCCATCTGGTTTGTAAATCAAGTAGAGAATCAAACACATGAACCTCGATCACAAAACACGAGTCGGTTTCTCAGGTTGTTTTTCAAGAGAACTCACAACTTTGTGTCAACTGCTTCCTTCTGCATGATATCCATGATGGTTCTGCAGGCGTTTGAACAACCGTCAGGGGTGGAGTGAATCGTAATGGGTTTTTCTGCTGCGCCTGCATTTTCTTTCCGATGGATGTCGATCCTGTCGTGTGGATGCGACCAAAATTAGTCAAATTTACAAGATGCTCAACAATAAAATCTTCTAGGTTCAGTTTAAATCCTGACCTCTGCGTACGTACTTTGAGTGGGTCTGTTTGGTGATATTCCGTATGGTGGCGCCCTCCTTGCCAATGATTGCTCCTACGAACTGCGTGGGTACCAACACGCGCAGCGGGATGTCGGACTGCACTTTGGGACGCGCACCCAAGCCCGGAGAGCCAGCACGGGGAGGTCCGCGAGCGTTGAAACCTCTCCGACCCCCTGAAGGAGGGCCCTCTGATGCAGCCGTCTCATCTGGGATATACGACACTTTCAAGGCATAGTTCTCCATCATCGATCCATTGAGCTTCTCCATTGCTCTGGGGAAAGTTACAAGACAGATAAGGGTCAGCGATCCCGTGTCAGCCTCAAGGATTTAAGATTTCCAGAGGCACAAGAAATGTAATATAATTGATGTACACCAGGGGGCACCAGATGGCTAATTTAATCCCCACCTTTCCAACACACATATTCCCTCCTTCAGCCATTGATTGGATGTCAAATTTAGTTAGACTGAGTTTGAGACAGTCGAAACATGACACATTGGAGGAATTAAAAGACAAAAAAAATGCTGCTTCAAAAGGATAAAGAAACAAAGTCGAGGCAAATGTTTACTTACAGTCTTGCATGCTCCCGAACTGCGTATCGAACATTCACTACTGCAGTCTCTGTATCAGTGTTTACTGTGGGGGAAAGAGGCATGCAGTCATATTCAATAGAAATAGTCCCAAAAACTGGAGGACAGAAGATGCTAAGTCAAACCTTCACTTATTTCACTTAGACTGAAGCCACTACTGTTACTGTTACATTTGCCTGTTTATTGACGATCCTTATACAAAAATCCACTCATTTCCAATGATCACTAATCAGACTTGGCAGTGCTTCACATTTTCTTAGCAGAAAGTGAAAAAAAAATTAAATTGTCAAAATGAGCATCTTTTCCTAATGCCCAACAGAATTGTTTTTTCTATAGAATTTATAAAAAAATAAAAAAAAGATACTTAGCATCTACTGATCAAGTTATATTGAAAACATCTGGCACAAAATTAATCTAAGTTTTGCCAAGGCATTGGTAATTTTCTCATCTTGTTATGAGAGTCAGTTTGTAATTATTTTGTTTATGTAATATAATTTATTTGCAGTTTCTTTGGCACAGTATATTAAACAGGCATATGACTAGCATAACATGGTTTTAATTACAAGTTTCTGTTAGAGACACAAGTAATACATGTCATTAAATTGAGAAAAAGGGGAGGATTAAATGAGTTTTCACTTTTTCCTTCTCCTTTTCTAACACTATAGTGATAAGCCAGTTTTGTTTTGTATACATGTTTCTCTTGCCCTGATTACTTGTTTTCAAAAACCTGTTGGACATAAATTTAAATTAATAAGGTCCATAAACTCCACCTTTTAGTTTAATATTTTGTGAGAAATTAAAAGCACACACATTTAATATGGCTATGAATAAAAAGGTTTTAATCATGCTAAATGATCTTCATATAGAAAGTTAAACTTCACACTGTATTTCGTCACCATTAAATGGTTAGCTCTGTCAAACTGCTCTGACATTTAGTCTCCACAGGAGAGTTAATATTCCTTCACAGGTTCAACTAATCAAGTTCCAGTTTATCACCAGTAAGCAGCTCTTTTCTGATGACCTTTGCACCTAAACCATCTTTCTGATTGTTTTCTCCTGGTCTGTTGAGCACAACAACTTTTGCCCAGATACAACTAAAAGCTTTAATTTTAAAATGTGAAAATTAATGGTACAGCGACAGCGTGCACAAGTCTGCTGTGGCACCGTCTATGAAGTGATTGTTAAATGTGTCACTTTAAGAAGGCGGGAAGCAGCAGTGGTCAGTAGAGTGTGACTTTCACTCTGAAAGTCGGTAGAAAGGGAGAAAACATTGGTTGAACTAAATTCACAAATTCTATAATATTCTCACAGATTTTACTTTAATGCCTAAATTTCTCACTTCCATTTGGGTTTTCCACATCATCATCATCATCATCACAGGACCCTTCTATCCTATCAGTGCAATGTTACACGTTTAACATCACTGTTCCTTATTGCAAGATTTTTAGAACTGAAGCTGAAATAAGTACTTGCACTTATTTCAATGAGGCGTTTGCTGTTTTGAAAAGCCTTCTCAAAAGGGAGCAACAGTCAGGGAGCAGTTTCTTAACATACATGCAAAAACGCTGTTTTGTGCCCAAGTCCTTACACACTCCAGGAGTGACGGCTCAGGACAGTATGGAGAGCAATCCAACACAATACTATCTATAGCCATCTGCAATGTGTACACTTTTTATTGCAGTAATGAAAATGAAGTGAAGGCCATGAATGTCACAAATACTTTTTAAAATGCTCTTTAGTACATCTGCCCTAATTTTATTGTCGGTATTTAAATGCTGCCACTGTCTGTCGCATCTAACTTTTTTTTTCTCCAAATTTGGTCACATGGATCCTGTATGAATATTTGGCATTTTTTTAGGCCCCTCAAGACATCTTTTTGGGGAAAAACAAAACAAACAAAAAAAACATTGGAGCCATAATCTGTCCAAATTGCAAAGGAAGAGCTGCAGAAAATAAATAACTGTCCTGGCTAATGCCCTAGCTCATTCTCTCAAAGGAGTGTGTGTCAAAACCAGTACTAAGCATTTCGATTACACTGCACTGACGTACAACAGAAGACCTATTTGCAGTAATAACGGGACAAAAACACTTTAGAAGCTTGTTCATTGTGCTCGTTTAGTGTTTGATTGTCTAAAGAGCTGCTTAAAGGCTACGAGAAGGAATAAAAATAAAAACTGAACATCAAAGAATTCATCTAATTAACTGTGTGGCTTGCACACAGATTTTGGATTATAATTAATTTTGAGTCAAAAACAAAAGCCCAAAAGCATTTACCATCTGGCTTACTACTAAGTTTTTATACAGTTCAAAATTATCCACATAAATCCACTTCACCCTTAATTTAGCAGTTTTTTAACATACGTGCAACTTAGGCAGCTCATCACAGCAATAATATAGATTAAATAAATTGACCACATTAAAATGCAACATGGGGAGAGAAATATGGATAAAAAAAAATTAATCAAAGCCATTTACCTTGTTCACAGCTCTCTACTGCACCATACTGTGCAAGCATACCATCCAAAACCTGAGAATAAAGAAGACAAGCCATTTATCTGACAACTTTATGCTCAACTAGTTAAGATGTAGATTTTTAAGAGCAACTGGTTCCGATAAAAGCTGATAAATTCTTAGTCTAGTAATCTTGTATATTTTGCAGCTTTTTTTGATGAACATTTGTGCAAAATGAGTCAATTGTGGCCAAGGACCTGAATTATTACGAAAGACAAAAATAAATAAAAAGCTTAGAGAGAAAAAAAAACACCCAAAAAACTTTGCAATCCATCCACTGAGAACGGAGCAATGGCTAAAGAAAATCAAATACCACCCTGACTAAGATTTGTTGTCAGGAGTCTAGTTATTACAAAAAATATAAATAATCCAAACCTTAAAGTTACAAAAACAATACATACAGCCATAAAGTAAAGAAACTGACAGGAAATGTTTTGAAAAAGCACATTATGACTGAGACTTGTGATCAACACCACAACTATGATGTAGGTACAAAAAATTAAAGCTACAAAATAAATCTAAATGTAACTAATTAAAGAGTTTAATGAGATAATTACAAATTTTTTTTATATGTATAAATATTCGAGAAGCTATAAGTTTCCATCTACCAAATACTGACGAACACAGGCTTTTAATTTTAATTCATGGATGTGGTTGCGAGTTGGCGAGAAGCAGAGCAGGCTTGTAAGCTAAGCTAGGACCTCTGACCATGCTCAGTCGAACTCATGGCCACACCCCCTCAAGAGCTCAACCCCACTTTTCCAGCCAACAAGACTGCGTCCCCCTGCCCCCACCTCCATAACTCGAATAAACCACCAACCAGGCAACCTCCCGCCTCCCTGCCATCTGTGCTCTCAGTCATTGGCTGCTCCCACCACTGATACTGTTCCCCTGAAGACGAGCCTCGCTGGATGGCGTCTGCGGCCGCCCGTCCGCCTGATGGGACCAATGGGAATCCAGGCCATTCAGGAAAGGGTGGGGTGCATTCCAGCAGGAAGCAGCAGCTGGGGGAGGGGTGTGGATTCATGCTACACATTCTGTGAATCAGTGCACATGGAGAGAAGGGGAAGCAGTCCAGGAAAACCCACCCACAACAGCTTGTGAACACGCCACTACTTGGTCCACATTCTCCCTTTTCAGAGAGCTTCACACGCTCAATGACTTATATACGTTACTACGCATACGCAAGACTGTTTTATTAAAAGACCTTGCTATTCTGCTGATGCAAATCCTGCAACTTCTTTTTCCCCCTCACCCTCTTCACAACAGGAAAACAAGCTGCCTCGCGACATGCTAAACATACATGGCTGCATTAAAGGGACATGCATAGGCAAACCGAGCCCACCATTACAAAACGCGGGCTTGTCTGCAGCCATTTGATCCGTTCCTGAATCACACTGAAATGTTAAAGCTGTGCATTAACCTCCAAGACTTAGAGAGCAGCGCAGGCAAGCATTTTGCAATAAGAAAATTCTCATTTGGCTTTGTGCTTATGAAGCAGAAGATAAAGAGGACAGCGCAAGCACGTTATCGCAGTTAAACCTCTGCAAAGCAGGGTGGAGGGGTTGGGGGGTGTCATGAAGCAGCACGAAATTCCACACTCAGACAGTGGGATTGGACAAAAAGATTGTTTTTAAGAAACTGATGCATTAATTTGCATGGGCTAAGAAAAGGAAATAATTTTCACTTGGGCAGAATACTTGTGTGAGTGAACAATACTTTCCTACGCACAAAACAACAAAGGCAGACAGACCATGGTCACACGACTGAGGTCCAAGCCTCAGTAAGTTTATCCAGATGACGGCTGTGAACTCTGACTTTAAGTGATATATATTTTGACACAAAGTTAACCCTTAATGGAGCAGTAAACAGCATGAACAAAGACAGAGGGTCACTTTGCGCCAGTGCTGTAGAAATCCGCCCGAAGATCATGTCATTTACACAACCAGACAGCTTCACATTGTCAAATCACACCGGTTTTCTTGAAAACTTGAAATAAAAACTTGAATTAAATAAGCATAAAGGTCGACTTCCAGAACACAAGGATACTACACTGAATTCACAAATCTGCACAATAATTCCAGACGTGAGGTAATGGTTAACCTCAGCACTGCGGCTTATGCCAACACTACATTTCAGTTTATAACAGATTAATGTGGTTCAGAATAATTTTGGATACATCAAACAAGTTCACTAACAACTGCAGGGAAATTATAAATACAAGAAAATTTAAATTTAAATATCCATCCCCTTAAATATTTATCTACCTCTACAAGCAAAGATTGAAAGACATAAGGATAGGAATAAATTTTCAATTTGTTCAAATATATTTACACACAATTTTGACATTGTAATAAGAGTAACAGCAACTGGCTGTACATCGGGATTTTTAAAAGTTTCATCAAATTTCCACATTGCCGTTTGAGAACCTGCACCAGGCACAGTCGCCTTCTGCTCGGTGAGTCAGTGCATCTTGAGCTGCCCTTCCCCCACCTATTGCTGTGAATAGTAAATGAGCTTTGGAAAAAAACAAAACAAACAAAAAAAAAAACACTTTTCTCCACAAAGACTAATTTGGCAAAAAATAAAAAAGCATCAAGACAAAACTGACTTGGAAACTTTAGCAGCTCCAATATATATACTTTTTCTCTTTTTTAGAAATGCATTGAAAAAAAAAAGAAACAGCTGACAAGCTACAAGCAGAATGTCTTTTAAGAAACATAGTACAGGCTGGCTACCTGAGCAGATGACCAATAATAAGCAGCTCCACCCCAAAACAGAGAAACAGCATTCAGCTTCTAAACACCACAAATCTGGAACAAACTTCCAGAAATATTGGATAACAGCTGAAACACAGTTCCTGTCAATCAAGGCTAAAAACGTTGAGCAACATACATGTGTGTCAATTTTGATGATGGCCCTTGACAAAATGCAATGCTTGTAACTGGTTCTACAATTGGTGACTTATGTTGTTTTATGCTTCTGTGATGTAAAGAACTTTGAACTGCCTTGTTGCTGAAACATGCTGTACAAATGAACTTGACTGAAAACTATCACATTTGTATGTGGATATGGAAACTCTTAGTCTTGACTCAAATATAAAATTTCATAATCACCTCCACACAACACGAGGCTTGTTTTTTCTCATCTTTTAGGTCTACCATAAAAAAAATATTTGAATCAAAAATAAGAATTGGCAGGTCAGAACTAAAGGAAAAATTTACATTTCTGGACAAATCCTGCTCAGTGAATGAATCTGCAATCAAAAATGACCAACAATTAATTAATCAAAGATTTATTAATTTAGCAACACCATTGTTGCTTTTCTGTTTTAAATACATTTGATAAAGCTCATGCATAAACACTAAATAACAATATTTTTCATTCACAGTCAACACATAATGAAAGTCTTAAAACAGCTTAATGCTTAAGTGTAGGCTTTAAAAAAGAACTTCAAAAACATTTCAAGCGTGCTGACTTTTGCAGTTCCTGAAAGAGTGATGATAGGAAATTTCCGTGACTTATCCAGAGCTACTAAAGAACCCATGTTCAGAAAAAAAAAATCCCTTGATCTTTTCAGCCATAGACATTTGATGCACAAATCTAAGTCACACTACTGGCTGCAGCCCCAGTCAGACAAATAATCAAGTGCATGCTCGATTGAAATCCAAAGGCAAGGTGACTCCAGAGGCCACTAAATGAGAGCCCAGTTGAGCTGCCCGATTGTACCACACCCTGGAAGGAGTTAGCAGCCTGTTAGCACTCACCTCCCACTGCATGTGAGGCGGGATGTTCCTGATCTGCAGCTTACAGCTCCTGGAGAGACAAGAGAGAAAGAGGGTGGGGGATGGATGAAGAAGACGACAAAACATGATGGGGATGGAGGGGGACTGTTAATGCTGCTAAGGGCAAGAAGCTACAAGTGAAAACTACAAAAATCAGCTTTTGTTTCTTCTGAGTTCAACCTAAACCACATGACTTAAGACAAATAAATTTAGAAAACACTTAGACTTTGGAAAAAATTAAGTGTGCAGGGTTTATGGCACTTTAATGCACAATCAAGGGCATCAATATCAAAAATAGAAAACGTATGTGTAGTGATATATTTAAAATGATGTGCTCTGTTCCCCTGAATGATGAGGTTGGAACCCCAGCGAGTCTTTAGGCCAACTCTTCCACCCAAACGGATCCTTATCCAGGTGTCCAAAAACAAAGAAACAAAAAAGAAAAAAAAAAAACCGCTCATCTAGGGCAGATGCAAATGTCCCCCGAAACCATCAGAAATCTGGACCAAGAAAAGTCAAAATCGTGTACTTGTTCACACAGAGTGTGCATACAGCAAGAGGAGACCAGCAATTACAATGGTGCTGCTGTGCTCTGTCACCAGAAACACAACAAGGACAAAAATCCCCAATTCATTCCTTTTAGCATTAAGGGTCCACACCACCACAGTTTCATAACCCAATATACTCATGCACAACAGGAGTACAATCACGATCCATTCATTTCCACAAAATCAATGGAACCTGTAAATCTGTGTTTTGGACTTCCGTAATTGTTAGTCTGCATGATTTAGCTTAAACAATAAAAGCAGCAAGTACTGTTCATTTTAAAGTGCACACACACCTACCTAAATTAACAAGGCATACGTACAGACAAGGGTGGGAGCAAGAACACATACACCATGTGTGCTTGAACTTCGAACCCAAACTGGCTGTAAGATCAGCTTCACACTCCCGTCACATGATTTATGTGCAGTTCATCTAAAACGGTGTGCTGACCTTTTTCAGTAGGAGTAAAATCTTTCAGAGTAACGGTTCAAGCTCCCACAATCTGCTAATAAAACCAATTAAACTCTAAACGTATTTTAATTAAACGTATAAATTTTAATTATGATGTAACCTTTTATGAAATTAAGGTTTAAATATGGCATACAAAACCATTTTTTGCAGAGTAATGGACATAATTCATAAAATTTCACTGGCACGTGCTACACCATTTGTCAAATCTGTCAATTTGACAAATGGAACAAAAGGAAACTACACAATTGGCAATGAGCAAATTGTAAAAACAAAAAATAAATAAATAAATAAAATAACGCAACAGGAATTTCAACCCTTTCCGTTCCACCGTGCCATTCCTGGCTCATCTAGAGTCTTTCCTTTGCATGCTCCCAATGCTCCGCATTGCGGTGGGAGCGCCATGCGAGACGTGCAAACGCACAAAGTACTTCCAGTTGGATTAACCTATAGCTGCGCACACACAAGAAGTCAGCCAGGGTATGTGTCGGGATCAGGGTGGTGGGCTATACGTTCCAAGCCAAAGCCTTTCATTTGGAGAGGTGTGCCTGTGTGTAGACGTGTGGGGTGTGGTATGGAGGGTGGGGGATAGCCCTGTTTCAGGCAAGGGTAACAAGGGCCTTCTCTGCCCCGTGGGGGTGGGGCCCTGTTGTCATGGACACGGACAAGTCCACTGACAGGAACATGCAGAGCAGGGTTAAAAGTGGGAGGGGAAGGGAAGAAGGGGAGGCCTGCGAGTGACTGGGGTTGGCTCGTCATGTGATGGCCAGGAGGAGGCCGGGCTCCTTATTTACTTTCAAAATGGACCAACATGCCGCACATTAGCCGCCTGCTTAAGACCTATGGGCCCATACGGTGGAGAAGCCTGCGTACGGACACAAGTACTTAGGCACATGCGGCCATTATAGCCGTCACAAGTGACGGAAGCATGCAGAGCACCTGCATTTTCTCCTTTTGTAATAATCCAGCTATACAGAAGTATTCAACAAGCGACACAAGGTCCATGCGTGACGCCCAGTCACAGCAACTGTATGCAGACCTGAGTGACTGAATACGAAAAGGTTCCCAGTGACCCTCACAGATCTCAGCTACTCGCATCCAAAAAGAAAATAAGAATTTAATGCAAATCAGGCATTTAACATTTTAGCAGCTTTCTTTTGTAAATTTCACTCTTGATCCAACTGGAACAAGGCTGGATCAACCTGCCCCTCACCACCCCCACTTTTTTTTTTTTTTTTTTTTTTTTTTTAAAGCCACAGGATAAAACATGAGGTCATACTGAAAAATATGGCCACCCAAAACCCAAGATCAGTTTATGTTTCTGCACAGGTGGGTTCCTAGTGACTTCATGACCCAGAATCTTGCCATCAGGATGAAGCAGATATTTCTACCAAACAACCCTAATAAGATATGCACATTTATCTAGATAAGACATTAGATCTATGAAACATTCAAAAAAGTTCATTAGAACAATTCAAATATTGTAATTTCCGACATTATGTAGTGGAAAAACAAAGTCTTACACTTCTTTGAGGAAGAGAGCCGTTTACTTGCCGTTTTACACACAGCCTACCTCCTTTCAGCCATACAGTTTTTTCCCCTTTTTCACCAAGTATGACACATGAACATGTACGTTTCTCTGGTATGCAACACATACGTCAGACAAAATAACTTCAGCTTAAACCATTTTAATTTTACTGAAATTGATTAATTGCAAAATATGTTTTGGCAACACAAGTGCATTTTTAGAGAATGTTAAAAATTTTGTTCAGTAAATCCAACTTAAACAGGAAAGTGCTTTACTTCCTTAAGGGGTTTTTTAAAGAAGAGCACATGACTGAAGAGTGAGTGTCATTTTTAAGTGAAGGAAAAAAAGAAGCAAAGATTGAAATGGCCGTCTGTAAGCTAATTGTAAACCTTAACTGAATGCTGTAGGAAGAATTTGTATGACATCAAATTATTTCTTTTAAAAGCACCACCCAAAACAAAATCATGCTCTGTAGCGTGTCACTTTACACCAACTTAATTTGAACCTCCTAGATGTAGCAACCCCACCTTGATCTGTGGTGTAGCACCTCCTCTTCCTGAAGAGTTCAAAGGTTAAGGTATAATGATTGGCCAAGCCTTCTAGTCAAAGTGTGTAGACTGGAATGTAAAGAGAGCCCCCCTAACCCTCTCCATAGTACAAGTACGTGCATGCATGTGTAGCCTACAATGAGCGCTATTCCCATCAACGGCCATCACAAAGTCATACATGGTGTAGGACGAGAACGTTTTAACTCTCCTGACACCAACAAAGCAGCACAAAAACTGGACTTTTGTGCAGCCACAGTTGACACTGCAGGGCATGCTACAAGGCGGCAAAGACAGATTTAGCACCAAAATTTTAGTCAAATTCACCTGGCTTCTGAAAGCCGCATAAATATTACAAATAAAAACCCACGGGTTGCCAGAGAAACACATTCCACGTCAAGATACCAAAACTCCAGTAGGCTATACACTCCCACCCCCCCCCCCCAAAACATCCAGTGACAAATATTAGGACAAGGTAGAGTTAGGAGTCAAAACACCGGTTACTGCCACACATGAAATTTTGAGTCTATACATTTGACCTCACAGTCTGTTCTTTTGCAGGACATAAAACTAAGGCAATTTCCACTGACCAGTAAATTCTACACTTTTGGGTTTATTTTATACATTACAAGGCCACATATTAGTCACATACATAAGTAAATGGAACCAGCATTTATAATAAAAGCTGAAGCCAATACCCTTGATTTGAGATCAGTTTTTCACTCGCTAGCTAACACCATGTGGTAGCTAGCTCAAACATTTGTCAAGAGCTTCCTTAGGGTTTGTTGCCTTTTGAGTACATAGGGGTTAAGGGGGAAAAAAAGCCATGGACTGTGGGCTGTTTTCAGTTTTGTTGATTATATATATATATATAGATAATATATATATATATATATCTATATATATATATATAGATAGATATATAGATATCTATCTATATAGATATATCTATATAGATATATATCTATATCTATATAGACATAGATATATATCTATATATCTATATCTATATCTATATCTATATATATATATATATATATATATAGTAGCTCTTCACCCACAATTTGCAACAACAATAAAGAAAGATGCATTTTTATATGCACCTAAATGGTGTATTTAAAGTACACCAAGTGAAATACATTTCTAGATTTGGTTATCTGAAAAAAGGAGTTATTTAGTGAAACTTTGGCTCTGGCTCTCACACACATCTTGTGAAAGTCAGTCATTGGTCATTTCTCTGTTAAAACTGCAAGAGTACATTTAAATAAATAAAGTCGTGCATTACGAGGCAACACTTTGTAGTGTAATTTCACTGAGGACGTTATTTCAGACAGTGTTTAGTAAAAAGTGTGCCAAACAGTCCAAGTCCACCCAAACACGTAAAAACATTTCAAATAAAATTAAGGCCCTTCCACTAGCAAATTCAATGAATGCATTTTACACTAACCGAGAAAACAGCACACATATTTTAAAAACTTCAGTCAACTGGCTGTCGGAGCTCAAGTTACGTTACATATACGAGAAATATGCAGACTTTTCCTCCAAAAAAAAATAAAAATTAAATAAATAAATAAATAAAACACGCCACCGCCAAGCGTGAATACAAGGCTCCAACTCTCGACACTGAGGGTCTTTATCTCGTGAGCTGTGGGGCCCCAGAATCTACAATTCCACTCATGTTTGGGAGTCCATCTCACGCAACAGCAGCACAACGTGCTGAGGAAGGGCGGAAGCGTTGGGGGCAGGCAGGGAGGAATGACGGGCAGCTCCCTCTCAAATGGACGACTCCACAAAAAGGCCTCGTATTGCCACAAATTCAGCCTGTACTCCCACCCCAAAACAAACAAACAAAAAATAAATACACACACACACAAAACGCACGTTTCGAGGGTCAACCCGCCACCTCCAGCTTCTAGCTCATGCAGTCACTGTGTGCGTGTTTTAAGAAAACAAATATGGTGGACGTGCGAAATGAAGCCAAATTCACAGCGGATTCAGGAGCACCGAAAGGAGTACAGTACACGACCGGGCACCCCCTTTTTTATTTGACCCCACAAGGATTAAGGGGGGAAATACATTTCAGAATTTATTTTTTATTTTTTAAAAGGCCCACCATTTCGAAAATAAGCGTGTTCAATAACAATACACCGTACTGAACACGCTACTTTAGACACAGAAAAGACGCTGCCTGTGAAATAAAATGTTAGTCAAGCTAAGCTATCCTACAAAACTTAATATTTGACCTACCTTTGACGCTTAGGGACAGAGTGCTCCACTTCCAGAACTTTCCCATGAAGTTCAACTTTACCTAAGGAAACAAAAAGATTTTTTTTAAAAATGCCACTTTAATTTGTCCACCACATGACCTCCATTCAACTCGAGCCTCATACAAAAAAGTAGCTAATTAAGGACATTTGTTCCTTCCCTTTCTCACCAAAACAGTACGTGAACATGGCGATGTAGCACATTCAACAAAGACGTGATAATTTTTGAAGTAGAAGTTTCGTCGCGTTGCGTGGAATTCCACGAGTTTCGCTCAATTCGCGTCAGCCCCCAACGAGGCGAAAAAGTCCGAAAATGTGCAAAAGCAAAGCGTGGCTCAGTAAGTTGGCCTACATTTTTCGACAACACAATTAAACCACCTGGTGTGTCAATCATGCGTCGGGCGGAGTGGCTCCACTTCTACGGCCTAACACACTTGGAAAAGCCGACACAGAGTTTGCGTTCAAATTGAAACGAGGGGGCACAGAACAGCGTTCGGCTTCGTCCACGCTCACCCCACGGCGTCCACAGCCTCGCTGCCTGCCAGGAGCTTTTAAAGCCTGGATATCCTCACGGTTTGTGTTCACGCTGTTGGGTTTGTTTGGGAGGGTTTTTTTTTTGTGTGTGTATTTTTAATCAATGGAAATAACTGAAATTTCACTCAAACCCGTGAGGCGTTGAAGCCATTCGTCTGAAACCAGAGTGTCAAAAGGCCACGCAAAGGTTGTGCGTTCGTGTGTGTGCGTGTGTTCGAGAGAGAAACAGTTGGATACACCTCCACCCTGCAGGAGCATACGTGCACAAGATTTGGACACATGTGGCAAGGCCGTGCGTATTTTTTCTTTTCACTTTAATTATGTTATCCCACCCCCCCAAAAAAAATGTTTCAAAATAATTAAACCTCACCTGAAAGAACATCGATGGCCTTCATCGCCGCCTTCTCGTCCGGGCAATCCACAAACGCGTAGCCGGTTTTGACGAGGAACGGACCGCTGTGCGGAATCTTCCACTGTTTGAAGACACTTTCCAAGTCCTCCTCGCTCGCCTCGGCGCTCACGTTGCCGATGTATAGCTTATTCATGTTCCACGCCGAAACGGGACAATCTTTACGCCGGAGTAGAGGTGGAGTGGGGGGGAGGGGGTAGGGAAGGTGGAGAAAAGAAGAGACAGTTGTTTCGCTCTGTCTCTTTCTCTCTCTCGCGGATGTGCGCCCGGATCGCCCTGCTCGCTTCTTCTTCTTCCCTCGCCCTGTTTTGTTTTTTTTACTACTACTACTATGCGGAGCGGCTGTGGCGTGCGTCCCGCTCGGTTCGAGCCACGGATAGATTTAAACTGGCACTCTCTCTCCCCCCACCCCCCCCCCCACAGTGCGTTTGCGCTCTCCTCGCCACCCCTTCCTCCTCCGCCTCCTCCTCCTCTCCGTCACTGTCGCGCAATAAATAAATGCTCAATTATTAATCTCGCCTCGCTCCGAAACGACGGCGGGGCCGGTCGAGGAGGGAAAAGAGGAAAAAAAAAAAAAAAAAAAAAAAAAAAAAGGAGGAGAAACTACTTTTGTCCCTTCCTCCGAAAAACCCCTTTTGGCAAAGAGACGGAGAGAATGTCACACACGGTAAGGCTGGCCTGGAATAAGAAGAAGAAAGGGCAGGAGGAGTAGAAAGAAGAAGAAGGGGGGGCGGGGGGGGAAAGAATCCTCCGCTACTCCGGCCTTTTTTTTTTTTTTTTTTTTTTTTCTGAATGAGCCACGTGTTCAAACTACAAATCAGCCCACACGTGAGGAATCCCAATTGCTCAATTAAGTGTTTGGGGGATCGGGGTGGGGGAAATTGCATGGGAATCTGGGGTGGAGATTGCAGAGTTCGTGGATTGGTGTTGGAAGAGATAGAGAGATAGAGACGGGAAGGAGGAGGACGGGGGTGGGGGGGGATGCCATGAGAGTGCTGTGAGTAAAGGTTTTCCGTGCTAACTAGTGTCTTCGCCAGAATCACATTCGTGGTGCCTTGCTCTGCGAAGCCCGGCTTCTGATTGGTCGGCTGAAAGCACGCGCACGCCCATAAGCAAAGGGGAGTGAGAGAGAGACGCTGACATTGCGGGGGCTTGCGCGCGTTAAGTACGCTGTAGTGATGACACGGTTGAATGAAAGAGCGCCGGCAAAAGGGGGCGGGGCCAAATCATATAGTGAGTTTGCACTATATGTTATTGTCAACACTTTGCATGAGAAAACAGTCAATATCAAGAGTCCCGTTTGCATGGGAGGACCCTGGGCCGCTCCTCGGGCCCTCGCGCAATGCGAGAATGACACGTCTCCTACGACTACTTCCCACATGGCGGCATCCATCTTCTCCACCATGGAGGGGAGCCATGCCCTCTTTGGTCCGCGACTCAAAGTCCAGCAGCAGGCCCCATTTACTCGAGGTCACACGCAGGTAAAAGCATGGCGAACTGGGATCTTTGCTGTTTGGTTAGAATGTCTATTAGACTTCTTGACGCAACGGATACGCCACGTGGAGCGAAGACACGAGAATCCCTAATGCCCTATATATATAAAAAAAGAAAAACAAATCACTGAATGAAGGGAGTGGTTTCTCTCTCCAGTGTTCCCCCAGTGTGCCTCGTAACGTATGGACACATGTTGAATGCATACCTATAACCTGGGTTTACTGAAAACATAGGAAGATTACAGTAATGTCCACTTTATGAGAGAGTCACACCAACACCTCTACTAATAGGCAGGGGTCGATATTCTGTCAAAGCAGATTCTGTACAAGGTTTTCAATGTGTGGCGTAGTCAAAGGGTTTTTGCATGTGATCAGTGAATGATGTGTTCAAATAGGAGGTTTAAAAACCCTAATAAAATCTGTCAAAGTAAGTATAGAAATTGATAAATTGCTGTTGAAAGTCCCATCCTGTAAAAGTTTACTTTTCAAAATCAAGTTATTTTCATTTTAATGGAAACAAATAAATAATAATTAGCAAAGTGTGAAGTAATGTCTAATTTCCTGGAATCCTTCAACTCACCAGTGTAAGACAAGTGATTAAAAAAAACACAAATAGACACACAGAAATGCACAAGTTAAATAAACAAGTCCAAAAATCTAAAATGCAGATCAGCGGCAAGCCTGAATGATCCATTCAGCTCCCTTCACTATCTTCTGCAGGACACTTTTGGCTGCCATATTATAGCTGGACTAACTGCTGCTTTAGTATGTCCATGACTATCGCTTCTGTTAATAGAAAAAAAAAATAGAAAGTTATTTGTTCTATAAAACAAAATATATATATTTTTTTATTTTATAAGACATTTATTTAACTTGAATATATGGTAAATATATTCAATTAAATTTGTTCTGAATATAATATTGTCATCAAACAGTGACTAAAAAACTCTTAAACAACAATGCATTTACATTCGTCTTCTGACAAATTTATTCAAAATCACATATCTAATTAAGAAATTTAACAACATAATGATTGCATGTCCTCAAAGCCAATAAATTAATGAAGTCATAACTTTGATCCACATGTCACGTGGCACAAATAAGAACTGCCTACTGTATGCTCTGAAAAAAAAAAGTTGGAGCGTGCAGAGTGAATGGGGTCTGGAATACAATTTGTAAACGTAACTTATCAAGTCCACACATTGATCAAAATGACTAATAAATTGACAAACCAATCTCTGGGGACAGTAGTAATTGGTGTTGCTCAACCAAATCCTTTGTTTTCATTCATCTGTCCGTCCGTCCAGCCACCGCCTGTCCCATCCGTCCACTGTACCTGTTCGATCCATGTCGGCTGGGGAGCAAAGGGGTCAGCCTAAAGAAGGGGATCCGCTCGTGATAAAGGGGTGAATAAATGCACTGGTCGTTTGACAAGAGCTGTTGTAGCATTGTAGAGCAAATAGGTCATGACAAACAAGATACTAGGCTTTAATGTTAAAATGATTAAACGGAAAATGTTGCAAACACAGAAACCAATCAGAACCACGAGGAGGGTCTTAGTGCTGCCAATGAGGCTTGTGTACCCACTGCTCACCTCCCCACTATGATTTCTCCAGGGCTCTCTGTGTGCTTCGGCGTGTCAGCCACTAAAATTCATATCAAACTGAGGCATTAAGTTGCAAAGAGAGTTCATTCACTCAAATATATTTGGAGAGAATGCAAGGAACTTGAAACATGATACATTTGGCAAGGTTTCTTTTTCTTTTTTTTTTTTTAACTCTGGGCACTAAGGCTGTTGTCTTTTCATTTACATATAATGACTGATATCCTCTAATTTATAAAATTTAGAGAAGCTCTAGTTTGTTTTTCTGTGAGATGTATAGTCATTCTTTGGATCTGTGGCTGTTTCTGAAATGGGAGACATGGGCAACCGCTCAGGGCGACAACTTGCAAGGGCGGCACTATGTTCCACGCCTTCTTTTCCCCGAGTGTCTGAATGACTACCCTACATTACGACTATAGAAACGTCCATAGATACTATAATCTAAGGTCGTTCTTGTGGTCATATCCTTTTCAGAAAGTAAACAGAAGAAATCTAAAACAGTTTCAGAAAAACTACTTTTATGTGGACAACATTCAAAAACCTTTATAACAAGGCATATTCACAATGGTTACTTTCTGCTAAAGCAATGCCCTGTATATCACTGTGGGTTTAGTGGTTTTGAAAGCAAAGCTACTGTTTTATCAGTTCTGTGGAGTATGATTTGTTTAGATCATGTTTTCGCAGATTTACATTGCACTCTAGGAAAATCACGTGGTCCCATAATTTAAATTACAGTAATATTAACTGGGCACAAAACAACTAGTTTACCACATTTAAGTAAAAAAGAAGGAGTACTTGACTTGGGTGGAATAATTTTATAAGTTAAAACACATATTTTGTGAAAAAAAAGAATGAGCCTGTATTTTAGAACTGCAACAATAATTACAATAGTTTTTTATATTTTTTTATATAAAACTGCCTTTACAGGAAAACTGGTTTATTATGTCAAACAGTAAAGTGACTCCACACAGGGCCGGAAAATGGAGGACCCCCATGTTTGTCACATAGGTCCCCATAGGGCTTACAACAGATTGTTAGTTAGGTACAAAAAAAACTCAGTTTTTACACCTTCACTAAAATAGAGTGTGTTGGTTCTCTGCACAAAAATCCAACTGATTAAAATGCCTGACTCAATTTATTGCATGTCATCCCTGTTTCTTTACTCAAAGCTATTGAGTAAAGGTGACTGGTGCCAAAAAAAAAAAAACTGGGGTTAAGGGTTAATGTGCCAGGCAGCCCTGGCTAATAAGAGAGGTTGTTGTGATGCAAAAATATCATGTTATGATAAATAATTTCAACATATTTTCCAAGCCTTATTTCAACCCACAACCAGTGGAGTTCAGCTGAAAAATTAACACAAATAAAAGAACATAAAAATGTTGTAGCCACCTGGTTGCAGAGATCTGGCTAAGCACCTTTTTGCTGAGGGTCACACTGACGCCCGACTTGTTGAATCTCGCTTACCCAAAATAAAGTCCAGCTGTCCCAGAAGAATCTGTGTCACATTTGCTCATTGAATCATTTAGCTAAAGCCTCAGTTTGCTGACAGTTTGCAACGAATAAATAATGGTCTTGCACAAATCAGCCAGGAGAAAGATACAAAAATCTACTGCATTATGTAAAAACAACAGGACAACAAAGAGAGTTATGACAAGTGGAACAAATTGTGGAAAACTGAAGGTTTCCTCAAAACGGCTGAAAGGATTGAAACTGGTACAGAAACTGGAAATAACCCCGATGAAGCGGCAGAAATTTCTGCAAAGTTCAGTTGTTTTTTTTTTCCTAGACACAATGTTCACTCTTCTCCTCATGCTTGGACAAAGAGTCAGGGCCGTAAAAACTTGTCTAAGTCTTTTCTCCCCCCCCAAAAAAAACAGTCGTCCAAAAAATTGCTACATTTTTTTCTGAAAGTTTGTGGGAGCATGTCTCATAATTGATTAAAGCCAACTTTTAACTTTAACTTTAGGACTCTGACATTTTGTCACAAAAACAACAGTGAACATGAACAAAAGAACTCCACCGCCACAGTGAAACACGGCAGTGGCAGCACCGTGATCTGAGGTTTAAATTATGAATGGTACTGGTCACTTCTGACCTAAAAGTTTTAGGTGTTGAAGAAGATAAGGAGTTTCGTCCGTTAGCTTGAGAGTGGAGTTACACATCAGAATAAATGCAAAAAAAAAAAAAAAAGAGTTAACGAGAAAAAAATGTGCATATTTTGAAATTAAAAAGACAGAATTTAGAATGAAATGTCACAGACCATGTCCTGGATTATTGACTCACAATCTGATG